TGTCATCTGTTGAAGCCGTGGCGCTGTAAGAAGCACGACCAATCATCTGAGCCGGCCCGGCTAAAATGACTGGATGGCCTACCTGCCTGTCAGCCTTCTATCTCGTGCCCTCATTGGTCATGTGTGTGTTGGAGGAGGGGCTCTGTAAGGAAGTGGCAGTGTATTTTCAAATTCTAGCGCACTCAAGCTGGTTTCTCCAAAATTACCTACCCCACCTTCAAGACAACAACTCCCATAAGCCCACTCTACTTCAGAATGCCTGAAAACTCCTCCTTTTATCATTTGATGTTTACGGGACCCTTTGTGTCAGAAAATCGCATACTGTGTGTTCGGTTTTACTCCCACCGAAAGGGTTGGACAACACGGGGCGTGACCACTCAGCCTTAGTTTAGGATTTTATTCTTGAAGTTAGTTTCAAAGTTGACTTCCTCCATACAAAGTTAGCTTTTTCTTCTTACAAATCCATTTTAAGTTAGGTTATCAACCTAAGAGAATTATAAACAAATTAAAAGCATATACAACAAAAGTCTATCATCATAAACACATATTTAAACCAAACTCACCGGCTGCCCGTGTGCCCTGTGGCTGATCAAAACATGACTGACAAACATTTCAGTGGCCCTTTTTAAGATGGCTGACGGTCCCTCATCAAATGAGTCCCAAGGGAAACAAAATATTGGAACCAAGGTTCCCTCCCAACTGAAACCTATTTTGCATGACAATCTGCACAACTAAACCAGTATATTAATGCTTCATGATTTAAATAAATAAATAGAAAATAAATGAATAAACAACCAAAATTAACTCCACACTGTGTGTTTAATCCCAGCTTGTTTTAATATCCTGTCTCTATCATTCCTTCCACAGATACTTTGTGGAGAATGGAGTCCTTCAGATCACCAATGTGAGCCACAGGGACCAGGGTCTCTTCACCTGCGTGGCCAGGACCCCGGTGGACCGAGACACCGCCTCAGCGCTGCTCATGGTGTTAGGTGAGCTCACATAAGAACAATATCTGTGCTCCGGGGCCACGGAATCACAGACCCACGGTGCTACATTTATGTATGAGACATTCATAAAAGGATCGATATGTCAGGAAGCCAAAGCGGAGCATGAACATGCACACCGTGGCTTTATTAGCCCGCTGTCTGACAATCGCCCTTTTGAGATATATTTGACATTGTAATGTCCGGAAGAACCAGCGGCAGCGATGCAGCTCGTTCCACATCCTCTGGCTCCGAGTCGATTGAACATTTGTTACCACGTTTTCTTTAGCTGCAGAAATGTGTTTGTGATTTCTTAACGCCGTGTTGTTGTGATTGTTTTTAGATGTCCCCGATGCTCCTGAGTACTTGGTACTGTCGGACCACAAGAGCAGGAGTGTGAAACTGAAATGGATCCCCGGGGACGATCACAACAGCTCCACCACAGGTAAAGGTGTCATACATACAGTCCACTGAATATAGTGCCTTCTCACTGAAATGTTTCGAAATGTTTTGAAGTGGGGTTGTATAAGGGACTTATCCATAGTCAATGTGGAAGGTTCCCAGAAGGCATTTACTGCAGTGGAAAAGGGACAGCAGCAAAATGTATTTTAGCTAAAAGTAAAAAAAGGCCCCGCCCAAAACGTTCTGTTGAAGTTTGGATTAGGTTAAATAGGCATCTGCCAATTAGAAGATTGGGCGATTCGGTCCCCAGCCAACGTGATGTCACTGGTTTGATCCCAAGCCCCTGCATTCAATGTCCTTGGGTAAGATACTTAACACCAAATTGCTCAAGTTGGCACGTCTAAGGTATCAAAGTGTAAGTCATCTGCTTTGGTTGAAAGTGTGAGCAAAATGGCGTGTAATGTACGCTTAGTTTAGAACATTATCACCGCTTTAGTTTACCCAGAAACGGATACATCACATTTCCGACAGGAATCAGAAGCTGTTATTTAAGCGCTCTTCAAAGCCACCAAACTCTGGACAAAAACACTAATTCTACGTCGATGAACACAGAGCAGTTGTTGCTCTTCTACTGCTGCAATTGTTGTTCACATTCTAGTATGTTTCTGTTATGGTGTGATTATTGTGATTCTGGAATAACACGATCTTAACCAATCAACACCAGACCCCCTGTGTTCCTGCAAGGCACAAATTACAGCTTTTAAAAAATTGGGTCTGTTTGCTTTGGAGAAAGCATAGATAACAGCTTCAGCTCCCGGTCGATAACGGCTGAATGACAGCAAGGGAAAGCACTGAAAATATCCAGATTTCTAAGGTTACTAAACATGTTTTGCTGCTGCTGTCCACAGCTAGTACTCCTGTCTGCTTCTCAAAATGTGCCAACCACCATCTCCTGTTGGTACTGCTCGGACAATGGATATGTACTTTATACATTTCCACTTCAAAACACCTGAACTATCCCTTTAATCTGACACAACACAGTTTTTGGGCATCATTCAGCTCGCTAATAGATTTTTTTTGATACCATCTTGTACAATATGAGTCTATTATTGATTCATCCGAGCGTGAGTTGTGATTAGTCTCCCCTCGGTATACACAGGCCCAGAGCAGAGGTTTGAGGATTCCTCCTGCACAGCTGGTGGTTAGATAAGCAGTCCTCTGGCATGGCAGTGAGGGAGCACGCTGATTGTCTTTCTGCCTGTCAACAGAGTTTATCATCGAGTACGAGGAGAGCCAGTGGGAGCCCGGAAGCTGGAAGGAGCTGCTCCGGATACCTGGGAACCACAACTCTGCCGTGGCCAAACTCCAAGGGCACGTCGACTATCGCTTCAGGGTGTCCGGAGTCAACGATATGGGGAGGGGGCGTCCCAGCGAGCCCACGGAGAGATACAAAACCCAGGCCACAGGTCTGAGGCTCTCATTGTTTTTATTATCTATTTTTTAATACAATTTAGGGGTGCAACAACTAATCGATTAAAATCGATGACCAAATTAGTTGCCAACTAATTCAGTCGTGGATTCGTTGGTGACGTCATCGCGTGTGTTTTACGCGCCGTTAAGCTCCAACGTTATCGGTCTTTTTATCGGTACTGGAGACATTTAAAAAATATATGTCATGTATTATTGCTACAAAAACATTATATCGCAGTCTTAGATTCGCCAACTCGTTTCTAATATGCAAAAAGACAAAAGAATGCGTCTGGTGTATTTTCGATCTTTCCAATCCAGACGAGATCTCTCTCTCGTCTGTGTGCGAGGGGGCGGGTCAGTTTACACACATGCAGCTGCTACATGCAGCAACACACGGCGGGGATGGCGGAGAGAAGCGCTCCGAGGTGTGGTTAAATGTTACCCGTCTTGAGGTGGTCAATGCTCCTTGCCAAGAGAGTTTAGCATGTAAGGGCGGTAACACGAGCAATTCGTCTAAACATTTAGCAAAAGTGCACCACATTCAGACGGAGGAATGCACCGGCTTCGACTGTCTTTCTAGTAGCTCTATAGCCCCATCCACGAGGAACGTTTCCACGTCAGGTGTTATGCTAGCAGCAACACAAGGAGTTAACTCCATTATACAAAACATGGGTTAATGATTAGAGGTAACTGAGTTACTTTTATTTTGTTAAAGTTTCAGCTATTCTGTTTACAGTTCTGTCATCAGATTGTTTAATACGAATTGTTAACATATTGTTGTTTCTTTTGATGTGAAACATTATTTATTTAATTTAAATAAAAAGCAATGTTAATTTTGTTCACAATTAGTTTAGTTAATTTAATAATATATGTATTTTTGAATCAAGTATTCATCTTTATTGTCTTCATTGTTAGTTTGCACATGCCTAAAACTTTTTTTTTTTGTGCAAGGCATAATAGTCCGAATAGTCGATTCATCGATTATCAAATTACTCGTTTGTTGCAGCCCTAATACAATTATAAAATAACAGTAATAAAAATCATTAGACTAAAAAATGAAAACAGTCAATAGGATCGCTTCAACACTTCAGATAACTAGGTTGAAAGCTCAACAAAAAAACAACCAGTGAATTCAGATCACTCCTTGAGTTTTACCCAGATACGTTTGTATTTATTATCTCTGGACTAGTTTCATCAAGAACAATTTTGGGAGAGGTAAATGTAAAATCAATATTGTGTGGCTTCAGCCAATTCTGAATCTTGGACCACAGTCTTTCACCGAGGCTTTCATTATTTGTCATACTTTTTGATAAGGTCCTTCAGGCCACTCGAGCTGCGCCCCTGTGAACTCTTCAAAGGACTCAGACCTGCTCCATAATTGATTCCACCCTCGTTGAAACTCTCCTCTCTCGTGCGCACATTTCACCCAAGATTTCTTCCATTAACAAAAGCGACAAAATCCATACTCCTTTTGTTCTGCAGCTCCCGACAAGAACCCTGAAAATGTCAAAATCGAAGGTCATTTGCCACATGAAATGGATATCAACTGGGAGGTAAGAAAAGGACTCTGGTCTTTTATTATTCTCTTACTGACAATTCTGTTATGTCAGCTACCTTTAAGCAGTGTATAATTCAAATCTGATACGGCTTTTGAAGTTTTGAACAAAGATGAAGTTGTATCAATGTTTCATGAGCAATTACCAATTCCTCATTTCATAATTTCATTTATTAGAAATGGCCCTCTTTTGATTTTTCTTTCTGCGATTGAGATCTTGAGAAAAGACATTTTCTGGAATCACTTTCCATTGAAATCAACTCCATTTTCTTTTATTAGAAAGAGAAAGGGAGCTATGAAAAGGGTTTATTTTCTTTTAACAAGTACAGTAATATATTCAACATTATTGAAAAAAGATGAATCACTCCTCCGACTTATCATCTGGTTGCCCTGTCGGGGTAAAGTAGTCCCCGAATCCTGCATTCATGAGCTCTCCCACTGTTAATGATATGCTTTTGTGAATAATGGCGTCCCATTCTATTCTCCACTTCTGTGAGGAGATCAATCTTTTCATCTACGTATCAAAGAAAAGCCATTCTGCTAGACCAGGTCAGCTGTTCCATTGTTTTATTAGATAATGGGATAAAACTCTGCTTTCAGTTCACTGGGCTAGATCCAATCCCCTGGAGGACATAGAAGGAGCATCTGTAACTGAAAGTCTCTATAAAGCACTTCACACCATTGCTTTATTTCTCGTACCTTTTCTCCCCTCAGCCCTTGCTACCCATTCAGCACAACGGTCCGGGTTTGGAGTACGAGGTTTTCTACAAGAGACAAGGGGTGGAGGAGGACTGGCAGAAACACACGGTGAAGAGACACTCGTTTGTGGTGACGAACACCCCCACCTTCGTGCCCTACGAGATCAAGATCCAAGCCAGGAACAATCAGGGCCGGGCCCCCGAGCCGAAGATAGTGTCCGGATACTCAGGAGAGGACTGTGAGTCGTGAGCTTTGTTCACCTAGAAACATAGTATAAAATGGCATTTAGCGTAATGTAGCTACAACTGGCATCAGAAAGAGAATTGACTTCCCCGAGAAAAACTCTCTCTTGAGGGAACTTTGGGAATTTGGCCTTTGCAGACCATTTACATGCACGAAACCCTAAAGCAGGGGTTCCCAAACTTTTCAGCCCGCGACCCCCAAAATAACAGTGCCAGAGACTGGCGACCCGGGGGGGGTGGGTGCTAGTGAATTAATTTCAGTTTTCCGCACTCTCGCGGGAGTGTCATTATTGTCTCACTAGTCCGCCCCTGAAAATGTCTATGCAAACGTGATTATTAATAATAATTTTTAAAAAATAATTATAAAAAAGATAAAACAATTTTTTTAATTTTAATTTTCCATTTTAATTTTGTAATCATCTCGCGACCCCCACTTTGGGAACCCCTGCCCTACAGTATATAACACCCTAGCACAATAGGGCCTCTTTAAGGCTGTTGTAAGGCCATATTGTGTTGCTTTTTTCAGTTGGAGAAGATCCTGGTGGATAAAACCAAACGGTGATGTGATTGTAGTTCTGAATGTGGCTCTGTCCTAGTTTTAAAAACCGTACTTTATATGATTTTATACAGAAAAATATGGTTTTAAATGTCTTGGCTTATTCTTCTGCTTAACTCAAATGGACTCGGGGAAAGAAAATATTACAGAGACTTACTGTATTTCCTGTGTTCAGCTTTCTTCTGGACTTGCCCCAAGGAAGTAAAATCAGGTCATGACTCCTCCTTATTGTGTCCTCATGTCAAACGTGGTTCTACAACCAGTATCCCACCCTTTAGACCAATAGTTGTATTAGCTTGTGTGACTGTCTGTAGAGCCCATTGATATGAACCCCAAACAGGTGCTTTTGTAAATAGATGATCCATTATATTGACAGTAGTGAATACCTAAAACTGTTTCCTCAAAGCTCTGTTTTTCCTTGACTGCAGATTCTATAACGTGTGTTGTCTTCTACAGTTCCCTCTGCTGCACCTAAGAATGTATCCGTGGAGGTGATGAACAGCTCGGTGGTCAAGGTTAGCTGGACGCGTGTACACAAGGACACGCTACACGGACATCTGGGAGGCTACAGGGTAATACCTCAAAAACAGACCTTTGCTTTTCGACACGGCTTAAAAGCAGCTGCCCTGACCTCGCTCCAAACGCTTGCTCCCCTCACCCCTCTCTGTCTCCTTTACTCGTCCAGCTGAGAGAGAAAAACAACTCATTTTGCATTCCCTCACACGTCTCTGTCCGTCTCTTTCCAGGTAAACTGGTGGCGTATGCGAAGCCTGGCCGACTTTAAGAAAAAACACGGAGACAAACAGACGCTGGTGTTCCCAGGGGACCGAAACGACGGCGTGTTGCCGGGACTGACGCCTTTCTCCGAATACAGCCTCATCGTCATGACCTTCAACGGGCGGGGCAACGGCCCGGGCAGCCATCTCCACAACTTCAAAACCCCAGAGGGAGGTAAGGATTGTGGAATAAACCGCATGGAGTGTATTGATTCACAACTACTGAAGGGAAAATCTAATAATAGCCAAGGGATCTGGGCTGCAGAGTTCGACGGCTCACTGTTTGTCTTTCGCCTTCTTTCGCCCCCACAGTCCCGGAGAAAAATCCTGTTTTCGGGGTCACGGATGTTCAGAAGCACACCGCGTCCCTGGCGTGGGCCGCGCCCTCGGAGCCTAATGGGATTCTCACCGGGTACCTCCTCGAGTATCAGCTCAGTACGTATCCCTACGCCTCACGCTCAGCTCACTTAGATAGATAGTGTCGCCCCTGTGGTTTTCACTTGTGTTTAAAAGTGTTTACATCCCTGCGTCCCTTTCCAGCCCTTGATAAACTGAGTGTAAACAAAACACTCAGGCCATATGTTTCCATTTGGAACTGCATATGAAAGACTTACAAGAGCCCCACGACAATTATATTTAGATTAAGAGAGATGTGTATTTATTTTCTCTCTTTATCACAACACACATAGAAAAGTGCACCTGCAGGTCAGACTTTATGATGACTGAAAGTGGATAGAGAATCAGAAATAGTGTCCCTGGAGCCAATACCGAGTAAGGGTTGAAATCCTAGCACATTTCAGCACAATGCACTACAGTACCATAATACAGTCGTATACATTTAATATCCAGACTGACACTTCTCCCTTCTAATATGTTCATTAAAGGGTCCCAATAGCTTCAAAGACCTGGTATATTAGCTTGTATTATCATACGGGGACTCGATGAGTTTCTGAGGGACTAGTCCCCACCTCACATGAAAGATGATGGTTTAGCAGTTATTTTGCTCTGTGTTTTTTTTGTAGGTTTTGTCCGAAGCAATTGGTTTCACATGTAATCATAATTTGACTGGTAAAATAAGATAAATAATAATAATGTACATAAAAAAAATCTGGGATAAGACGGAGGGATCGGACCAAGTATACCAAATTGGTCTGTATGGACAAGTAAAGTCTATTTCTACATTTCGTAATAGCAAGAAGTAGACACTGAATTCCACTGTTTTCCAGCTTTGCAACAAAACTTGATGTTTTAAGCAAAGTCAGGATAGTTGGAGCAATCCAATATCACATGGAGTCTGCCAGGGATTAGCTCTCTGCTGCACAAATTAAAAACAGCCTCACTATGTTAAACACACAGCCTCTACATCCATATTACATCCTATTGTTTTGATACAGACACGTACTTACAGTACAGGAGTGTATTGATACAAGCAGGGTTTCCGCGGGGTCTTAAATAAAAAGTATTAAAAGTTGATAAATCAATTTAGCGAAAATGAAGGCTATTAAAAAGTATTAAAGGGCATTTTCCAAGGTGTTACATTTTGTAGCTTGTTTTCAATAAGTATATCAATTGTCCAAAGAGGTTCTATTCTACAGTCTGCCTGAATGTAATCATTGCGTAGGTGTGTAGTGTGATTCTGTGTAGTTTATTTATGGCATCCCGTTGGATTTGACGTCATCTGAACAGGACATCGCACGCTCTCTGCTTGATAGCGTGCAAAGGTCCATTTACGCCGGTTGCTAAGCAACATCGTTATGGGGAAATGCAAGTTATCGTCCAAATGGTTGTAAGATAAGGAGGAAGGACAATCAATACTGTATATAGTCAATGTGAGGTAAAGTGTGTCGCCAAGGTAACCGGTTAAAACTCAAAGTGGCCATGAGGTCTTAAAATGTGTGGAAAGGGTCTTGAAAGGTTTTACATTTGACTTCAGGATTCCTGCATATACCCTGTACAAGGTAGGAAGAGGATCATGGTGATTGTCTAACCCATGATCCTCAGCGAGAGAAGGAAAATCATTGTGCCGCTCTAATAGGGCCGGGGGTCACGTTGAGATCAGAGAGTGTGTATAGGAGACATGTCATGGTGATGTCTGCCGGCCTGCGTGTCACCATCAGAGCTCTGAGAGTGCTGACTGAGGCCAACGTGTCACTGTCTGTTACGCTCCAGCTTTACTGACCTCATCCTGTCCGCAGGGGACATCGCCCCCGTACCTCACAGTCCCAGGGGGGATACCGTCAGTGCACACACGCATGCAAACACTCCATCGTCCTTAAACAAAAGTCATAACCGAACTCCCAACATCGACGCAGTGCCGCATTTCCCGCCTAATTGGCTTTGATTTGGTGACTGCGAAAGAGGGCCATACAGTATTTCAAGAGAGGACGTTTTCATCGTACCACGGCAATAAAGCTGATGGGCTCTTTCGAAGTGTGACTTTTTTTTTCTTTTTAAGTCCCCTTGAGGGAAGTCATGTGCGAAATGTGGAGGATAATGTAGCCAGCTGTCAGCGTATCATCAGCGACACAAAGGGAATCTGGAGCTCGGGCACAGCTGTTTGAGGGCGACGCCCATCTCCAGCGCAGCCTGAAACAGCTTCACGTCTCACGGGTTTTCACAGGAGGGCCTGTTGGAACATCGTTTACCACACCGAGCATGCAGGAACACTGGGGCGTTTAAACTGTTTAACTAGCCTGCTTTGAAGTGGCACATTTCCCTGTGTGAAACCTTTTGATCATTGTATCAAGGTGATATCAAAGTGGATGAGTGATTTATCAGTACACGAGCATGTTAAGTACGGAAACCCTGAGAGGCAAGTGGGACGGAAAAAAAATCTATTTTCAGCTTTTTCTAAAATGCTTTGTTTTCCCTCTCTTTTTGTGCCAGGATAATCTTCATAATGTTTCTTTAATCTGTGAAACATTAATATAGAATCAATATATTTGAAATTGAAAAATATAGCTTTGGCAAGTTGATACATTTTAATTTTTGGTCAGGATCATTTTTTTTTAACGTTTTGTTTCTGCAATAATTATGTTGGTCTCAAGACTCTGAAATGCAACACTACCCCATGTGTTCGTGCTAATACGATAAACTGTATATACCGTGTGTTCAGAATTTAAGGAGAAATGAAATCCACCTGGAAGATTAAGGGGAAAAGTAAGATAGAAACATTATCCTTACACAACTTTTTTTTACTTTTTTTAATTTTAAGGAACTTGGAAAGATAATCCTGGCAAAAAACATTTCACCTTTTTTTCATTCATAAACCCAGGAGAGAAACAAATGAGATCAGATGTACAAAATAGATCACCGGACTTGTTTTCCATGCTTTCCTCTCCGTATTCGTGGAGGAATATCAAGTAAATGTGGACATGGTACAGATTTCCTCAAGCAGTACATTTTGCTTCAATAGCTTCTTTGTGAACTCATACAGAACGTTCTGTCAGTATTCTTTTTCTAAATCACTGAATACATTTCTGAATGTAAAGCCTGTAGGTATCTCAACGTTCCTCTCAGCAATGAGTGGGAGGCATGGTCACACTGCCTTAAAGAGCTGCTAACCCTCTCCAAAACCTGGGGCAGAGTCGGCAAGGAGACAAATCATCTAATAGCCTGCCTCTCAGCAAGCTAGTCACACCACTCGACAAATATAACTGTGTCACTAAGGTCAGGAGAAGGACTAACAACACATACGTCCTGTTTGTTCAGATAAGTTTACAGCAGTGTTTGTTGCTTTGTGGCAGAGCCAGAAGCTATTTCAATTCTAAAGTATTTTCACATTTATCTTATCCTTTTTAGATATGTTTGTTGATTTGTGAAGCCCTCTGAGACAAATGGGTTTTGTGATATTGGGTATGATATATAAATACATTTGAATTGAATTGAATTAAAGTAGCCATTACACTAACCCTTTACACTTGTGCAAATATATTCTAAAACCCTTAAAGAATTCACATGAGGATTATTTTACTTGATTTTAGTGAGAATCCTTTCGCTAATCACGCTAAAGCCGTCTAGCATCGTGGTCAGAACAACGGCTATCCCCACTCAAATCTGGAAAAGGACAGAGAGGATGCATGACACACCGATGAGACAAACGAGGAGCGCTGGATCCATATTTATGGCGAAAAGTCCACTTATCTACAATAAAAAAAATGACCTTGGATTCATTTAGTTCTGTGTTCCCATTTGAGCTGAACTCATGAGGCAAACTGTGAGGTCATTCTCAGATTTCAGCGTTGCTAACTCTTGGTCTGTTTCACACTAACCAAGGCCAAACATATTTAGCCCAGCAGGGCCGAAGGATATTTGGAAACGTTGTTGTCGTTGAAGTCAGGAGGAAGAGCCAAAGTCTACGGCCTTCAGCCAGTTCTCCATAAGATCACATGCTCCATCTGTCGAGCCCGAGTGTGTCCAGATTACTGAGAGACTTTCCATCCATGGGGCAGGATCGTGAAGCTCTGTGGCCTCTCCTCTGGAGGTGAATTATGCAATGTAGGCTGTGGCAATTTACTGTTTTTGGCCCTGGAAACAAAACAAGAACAACATAAAAATAATAATAATTGAGATTTCTGATAGCAGTGGGTGGTGTCGGTGGTAAAAAGAGAAGCAGACCAATACATTCTTGTCATTGTTCCGGTTGCCCCCTACCAGAGAGACGTAGCACCTCTTTCACAGCAAAGGTCACCCGAGCACCCGCTGCGTTTGTTTTTGTAACAAACAAAATAAATGCCACCTCCCTACCCACTGTGCTGCTTTACCTGGTGGAAAAATGAGATCCCATCACAGTGACAACACTAATCCATTCAAGTTGTGATTGTGCAGGACCCAATCTGTTTGTTTCTGTTGAATAAAAACTACATTATAAAAGATGTATTTAGCCAAACAAGAAAAGTTTTCTTTCGCTAAAGGCCATAACAAGCAGATGGGCACAATTACATGACTCTGGCATTGCAAAAAAACTAGAAGACATTTCAATATCACAGGCAAAGTGATCATTTGTGTGCTTCAAGTAAAGAGAGACCAGTGTAAAACAGCTCAGTGTTTCAAAGTAGATCACAAAGTCACTAGTACATCAAATATTGTAAAAATATGTATAACCTAACCCTAACCTGATGTCAGTAGGAATTCTGGGACTTGTAAAATGAAACAGCCTAGTATTTATTTCCTTTTCAAATGATACAAGAGCTATATCCAGCACTACTAATAAAGGGATGTCTGTCATATTATCATGACGTTCTCCATTTCCATAGATTGTACACATAGGTGTGTTCGTAATTGTTCTAGCAACATCTCTCATATGCATGCTCCCCAGAGCTAATACACAACAACTATCCACACCAATGAAAGTCATTGTAATTGCTCTTCACAGCCTTACGGCCCGTCCCCACAGCGGCATGCGTTGAAAGCTTCACCATTCACTTTGAATGGGGTGACGTCACTTTTCGCCGAACTGCATTGTGGGAAGCAACGCGGT